TTTATTCATTCACTTACATATCTATAGATTGCTTTGTAAATCTTCTTGTGTATCCTAATAACAAAAAAAAAAAAAAAAAAAAATCCAGTAAAAATCCTACACTTAAGGTTATTACTAAGAAAAAATAAGGCAGTTATTGAAAAATAATAATACAGTGCAAAAAGTGACAAAGACCACCAAAGAGGTACAGTGAGAAGGTAGATTATTGAGGGGGTCTTGGAGAGAAGTGGAATTGTGCCATATGAGAGATGTTGATTCCAGATAGAGGGCGTATATGCAGAGGCACACAAATGGAGATATTTCAGGGCACGTAGCCAAGAGGTATACAGGTACACAGTGAGGGTAAGGAAGGGGAATTAAGGAGGCTGGGCAATGGGGAGTCAACAAGTATTTTTAGGAGGAGAGGACAGTACCAAAGCTGTACAAAGAGTACAAAGAGGATGAATTAGGCTTTAGATTGAAAGATAAGCTGGAAGGTAAAGACTTGAAGGCAGAAAGATTGAGAAGATACTGCCCAGACACAGGTGGGGGGTCATAGCTCAGTCTGTGATGGCAGCACTGGGTCTTGAAAGGATGAGATGCATGTGAGCGATGTGATGTAGGGAGAGTCAACAGGTTTACTGACTAACTGCTTGGATCAGGGAAAAGGGGAAGTATGGATAAGAGAGAAAGTAAAGTGAACCTCAACCTCACAGGCTGGAGCTCTGGATTATGATGGGCTTAGAGGCAGAAGTGGGGAATTAAAGAAGGAAGCTAGTTTGGTGGTCAACGAAAAGCAATCTTCTTCAGATGTGTTAAGTTTGAGGAGATTGAGAGAATCAGGGGAAAAGCCCATAAATAATTCTAACTACGTGAATAGAGTAATAAAGGAAGGAAGGAAGGGCTATAGATGACATTTAGCAGACTTCTGACTAGATATAAATGTTGTTAGCCATGGAGTGTTGCAAGGAATGTGAGATGCCACAGGGAAAAGCAGAGGAAATCATCGCATAATATAGCATAATTAAGAGGAGTAGGAAGGAAAGAAGCCACCAGGGTCAAACAGCGTGGACAGTGGAGAATTTCTAAGGCCAAAAGGAAGATTCTAGAATGAGCAGGCGACCAACTATACCAGTGCTGCACAGGAGTTAAGGAGAGATAGTAGAGGAAGCTGCTGGCTTTATCCCACAGCCCTTCTTTCATCCCCCATCATTACCTTTTTCGGTGTCCCCAACACTTGGCAAATTTTGAATATGGTGTCAATTTCACTGGCCCCAGGGAACAGTGGCCTCAGAGTGTACACTTCTGCCATGATGCAGCCCACGGCCCAGATGTCAATGGGGGAGCTGTAGTTGGTAGACCTCAGGAGTACTTCTGGAGCCCTGTACCTGGGGGACAAAGGTTAACTGCTAGTGATTGCTTCCACTGGTCAGAAATTAAATAGTATAGCCAAGTCTCAATGAGACAGTTTACACATTGCTATTTTCTATCTATTCAGTGTGGTGCATAGACATATGGAAGAGCTGGCAACTGCCCTGGCTGCTGCTGTGATGCAGCCCTTCTATCTCATAGCATTTTCTATTGAGCACTTCCCTACAGGACTCTTCTGCTGTCTTACGGCATCTTTGAGAAATGCACACATGCACAGAGAGAGAGAGAGAGAGAGAGAGAGAACACAACTTGCTGTATGTAGGCTACTTCTTGATCATGGAAAACTGCTTACATCAAATTCCTAGGGTCTGAAAGTTTTACACATAGCAATTAGCTGGTTTCCACACAGCTATTATGGAGCATATAATCTTTTGCACAACTCTTGGAAAACTGTCCTCAGGAAGGCCTACATATAAAACATAATTTATATTATGAGAAAGCATAAAGAATTGCTTTTTAAAATTACAGTACAAGCTTTTAACCTTGTGTGATGCCAACCTAACAACAAATATGTGTTTCCAACTATACTGCTTCTCCTATGAAAAGTTAATGTTTGTGACGCTAATATTATCCTCAGTATAATGGTGTATTTTTTAAAAGAAATGTAGCTAAACAATTGTTAGAAAAGCAGTATTCACCATCTGGTAGATACATAATCTGTATATGGAGGTCTTGATCGGATTTCTCGGGCCAATCCAAAGTCTGCAATTTTCACAAGTTCTGGTCCCATGCAGAGGAGGTTCTCAGGTTTTAAGTCCCGATGGAAGAAGCCTGTGGAGACAGAGGAGAAGGAATCCAAAGGCAAGTTTGCTTCTGCTTTATTCTTTGCAGCTGTATCACTCTTTTCATAACAACTATAATTTTAAAAGTAGTCTGGCATGACACAAAAGGCTCTATGTAATCATCCCACTGATAATGTACAATACTTGGGGTCTTTCAATGGATTTCATTAATTTCCCTTTGATGAACTCAAAATGTAAAATCATTCAAAATTTGATCTTTGTTAATTTTTTCCCAGGAGTGAAAACTTCTTTTAAAATAGCAATAGCCATTGAGTAATGGCTGCTAAGGCTGCTTGTATATACTTCATGGGATGTGGTTCCTTGATTTGGAGGTTTAGGGTCACAGTTTTATGGGACACCCCAGTTAACTGGCTTAGTAATGTGTTTAGTGCTTCTGTTCTACCTCCCTGTTTATGGCATAGCTTCTGAAAGCAACCATCTGAGGCACAATTGGTCTCCATTTGCCTGAAGCGAGAGAAGAAAAAGAAGAGCGGGGAACAGAAGGAGGATATGGAATGTATGGCTGTCTCCATCAACAACTGTTTCCTTTGCCATGAGACCAGAAGAACTGGATGGTGCCCAGCAACCATTTCCAAACATCTTGATTTTAAGAGTCTAAAGAATAATCTTGGTCAAAAGAGGAAGAATACACAACAGAATTTCACACACGGATTCCAGACTTTCTGGAGCCATGGAAACTGGATGAACCTCTGAAACTACTGCCCTGAGATAAGCTTTAAACCTTAAACCAAAAATATCCCCTTTAGTCTTCTTAAAATCAAAAATAGTTTAACTTAACTAGTAAAGATTGTCTGTCTTGAGCATTATGTCCTTTGAAAAACTATCTATGTGGGATCACACTGACAAAAGCAACTCAAAAGATTAGATAGCAACCTTAGGAGGGAATGAGTTTATGTTATTTGAGGAAGAACTACTCAGAAAAGGAGGGTGAGAATAGGTTGTATAAGTTGAAGAATGTAATCAATGTTACTTCATTTTACAAGTAGGAACTATTGAATTGGTGTATGTTTTGCTGTCTATAATCTCAACAACAAAAAACTAAATAAATAAAATCCCAAAAAATATATCAGTACTCAGTTATGAGGTGAGATCACTTTGCAAAAAGAAATTGTCATTCAAGGAAAAAATATCATTCCTACCTTGCTCAAGTCAGCCAGAAAGAATGTGAGATTATGATCATTTCAAAAGACAACAGTCTCATGGATACTGATAAGTGATACCATGCAGAAACACTTATTGTTTTTGGTTAAAAAATAAAGGATTTAGGAATATGACCTACCTACTCATATCTGAGATTCTGGGGAGTGCTGCAACAAATTTAAATATTCTTTGCCTAATAAAGAAACACGAAGGTACATCTGCAGCTCACATCATGAACTGCATTAAATGGGAAGTCCGTCTCAGCTACAGCAGAGCCCTGGGGGTTCATGTAAGAAGTATTTAACATGGCAATCTTTCAGGTGCACTGAAATACCTAGTGATCAGCAAGCAATACATGCCTCTGGGAATCCAGAATCTTCTACTTCTTGAGAATATCACCAACATAGACAGACACCATTCTTTTTTTTTTTTTTTAATTGTGATTTGGGTGAAAGTTTATAGAGCAAATTCACTTTCCATACAGCAGTTCACATACTTTGTCTCATGACATTGACTACAATTTACCACAGTGCAACAGGTCCCTTCCCACTTCCTCTCCATAATTACCTCTTCCCTGTGTCCTTCCCTTCATGCACTCCTGCCCCCTAAGCTATGTCCCTGTGCATACACAGCCCTTCTATTTTGCCATGATTGTTCTCTCCAAGGAGTGTATCTACTTAGTATAAATAAATGTTTACCTCATATACCTGTCTTTTGTTTGGCTGGAAGCCACAAGTGTGGGTTCAGTTCCAAACCTGAAGGGCAGCTAGGGGCCATATTCTCAGTGGTTCCATCAGGCTCTATCAGACCAGCAAACCTGGTCCCTTTTTTTTTTTTTTTAAATGATTTTGGGTTTTGTTAGACAGACACCATTCTATGTGACTCTAAATGTCTCTCCTTGGGACACTGAAAGTGGAAATACAACTCAGATAATACTGCTTATAGTGTTATTTGTAATATATGATCACAATATGTGGGAGCTATGGTGGTTCAAACCCACCAGCCACTCCTCAGAAGGAAGATTGGGCAATCTACTTCTGTAGAGATACCACCTCAGAAGCCCAAGGAGGAGTCGCTATGAGTCAGATCTGACTCGACGGTAGTGAGTCTGCTTTTTATCACAGTACGTATGAACTGTGTCCAAATCATGTAAAATTATTCATTTCTTCTAAACTTATTGTCCTTATTCCCATTAAAAACGCTGTCCTCTAGTTCCTTTTTGTCTACATCAATCCCGATCTTTGTATCTTTCAAGATCTATTTGGAGTTTCCCCTTCTCCATGAAGCCATTCTAATGTGCTAGCCACGTTCATCCACTCTTTCTTCTATCTCATACTCACTGAGGGTCTACTCCAGGGCAAGCACTAGGTTAGACTTTGTGGATTCAGGAGCAAGCCAAATGCATCTGGTTCTTGCCCTCAAGGACCTTATAGGGCCTCCCCTCTGAACCTGAGTCGAGTTCTATTGTTTTCATCTATGTCAACCTTCTCTCACTAATTAGATGGAATGACTTTAAAGGTAGAGACCACATTTGTAATTCTCTGAATGCCTAGCACAGGGGCAGGTACATGGTAATCTCAAAATACATTTTTATTGATTGGACAAAGGACTTGGGATAGCTTTGTAGGGAACATGAAGGAGCTTAATGGTGATGAATCTGCCTGAGCCTTTCTAGGCAGAGACAACAAAAAGCAGACGCTAGAAGGAGGAATCCTGAGGAGACTGAGAGAGAAGAGCAATGACCCTGAAGTTAGGGGGAAGAGGGACAGTGAGGCTTCAGAGCTAGAAGCGCTCATCACAGAGAGTTCCAGAAGGACTAAATTTATTAATCAAGAGTATTTTCCAAACATTCTCTCTGCTCTAGGAAAACAAAAGGGTAAGGCTATATGTGAAAATGAACTAAATGAAGTGTATCATGGAAAGCAATAAGTGGACACTCCTCCCTGTTCACCTTTTGGAAGACACCAGGGCTCAGTGTTAGGTCAAATTCCAAATGGATAGCATTATGGCATAATGAAAGGGTCTGCAAGGTGAATGCCTGGTTAAGGTGGACAAAGTGAATATAATTACAAATCCTGGAACCCAGTGTATTTGGAAGGAGCTACAAGTGCAGAAGTGATAGCATACACACAAGAGGATCACAAAAGAAAAGAGGAAGCACTTCTTTCTCACCAATAGGTCTGCTTCTATTTTCTGAAACTCAGGGCCTGGAAGTGCTCAGCTGCTAATCAGAAGGTTGGTGGTTTGAACCCACCCAGCAGCTCTGTGGAAGAAAAGAGCTCGCAATCTGCTTGCATAAAAATTACAGCCTAGAGGCCCCATGGGTAGTTCTACTCGTCTCATAGGGTCACTAGAAGCTGGAATGAACTCTACAGACCCCAACAACAAGGCATGGACTAGTACAAAGGAGCTAGATCTAGTTTAGATTAGAGCTAAGCACAGCCATTTTGCTATATTTATAGCATCTATGTATATATATGTTATGGATTTAAGTGTATCCCCCAAGAATATGTGCTGCAAATCCTAACCTCTATGCCTAAGGTTAAGGAATTCTGGTGGTGTAGTGCCTAAGGCATTTGACTGCTAATCAAAAGGTTGGTGGTTCAAACCTACCAGCCACTCTGCAGAAGGAAGACTGGGCAATCTACTTTGGTAAAGATTTACCATCTTGGAAACCCAAAGGGGGTCGCTATGAGTCAAAGTCAACTTGACAGCAGTGAGTTTGGTTTTTTTTTATGCCTAGGGTTATAATCCCATTTGGGAAGGGGTTGTCTTTGTTATGTTAATGAAGTAGGAGCAGTGTAGGGTGTGCCTTAAGTCAATCTCTTTTGAGATATAAAAGAGATTAAATAAACAAGCAAAAGAAGCACAGATGAGGGAAGAGAGATGGCAAGCTACATGAAGACTGCCCAGAGTAGAAGCTCACAGGAGACAAGGACCTTCTTCTACAGTAGACAGAGAGAGAAATCCTTCCCCTAGAGCTGGCACCCTGAATTCAGACTTCTAGACTCCTAAAGAGGAGCTCTGGTAGCATAGTGGCTAAGACACTTGCCTGCTAACCAGACGGCTGGCGGTTCAAACCCACCAGCCACTCCTCGGAAGGAAGGTTGGGCAATCCTACTTCCGTAGTGATACTGCCTCAGAAACCCAAGGAGGGGTCGCTATGAGTCGGGGCCGACTCGACGGCACATAACAACAACAACATATGACTCCTAAAGTGTTAAAAAATCAATCTGTTTGTTAAGCATTTGCATTTCTGTTATAGCAACACTAGAGAACTAAGACTCGACAGCACATAACAACAACAACAACAACAGAGAACTAAGAAAATATGTATGTATATATGAACATGATAGGAGCTCTGGTAGCATAGTGGCTAAAGCACTTGACTGCTAACCAGAAGGCTGGCAGTTCAAACCCACCAGCCACTTCTCGGAAAGAAGGTTGGGCAATCCTACTTCCGTAGTGATACTGCCTCAGAAACCCAAGGAGGGGTCGCTATGAGTCGGGGCCGACTCGACGGCACATAACAACAACAACATATGAACATGATAGTTGGAGCTGTGTGTCAACTTTGCTGGACCACAATTCTGTATGGTTTAAGCAACTGTGATGTGGGTTATTCCCATGATGGGATTGGACGTATATGTTTTGAGCAGCCAATCCATTGAAAGGGAGTTTCTCTTGGGGTGTGGCCTGCTTCCAATGTATGTATGGACATCCTGGGAGAAGAGACACTCTTCTGTGGATCGGGATTCTGTTGTGCTGCCTACAACTGTCCATAAATGAAGAATCCACCATTCAGCTTGGAGATCTTGGATTCGTCAT